GTCATGTTTTAGAATGCATATTGCTAATGTGTAGGCTTTTTTTTTTTTAATTTTGAGGAACTAAATCATGGTTCAGGTATGTGGGTATTTTTACTTTAAGAAGGCAGTGTTAAATCATTTTTATTTGAAGAATTCTGTGAGGGATATATACATGTGGTATCACATGCAGTCAAAAATTTTTCGGTAGATTCTCTAACAGGTACTAACTTAAGCTTTAAAAAATGTTTTGGCAGGATACAGACTTAACTATACAATGTGTCCTCACCCACCCACCCTTTTTTTTTTTTTTTTTTTTTTTTTATAATTATTTTTTTTAGAGACAACGAGCTCCCATCCTCTGACTCCTCTAAATACCTGATATGACCTTCATGTGGAGGTCAAAGCCAGGAGCCAGGATCTCAGTTCAGGTCTCCTGCATGAGTGTTAGGGACCCAGTCACTTAAGCTATCACCTGTGCCTCCCAGGATCTTCATTAGCAGAAAGTTGAAGGAAGGAGTGGAACCAAGAACCAAACCCACGGATTCAAAAATAGGAGGCCAGGGTCTTAACCACCAAGCCAGTCACCCACTCCCCAGCAATCTTTAATTGGAATAAGAAGCATTGAACATTTTCCACATGTGAAATCTTCACTGTGTTCTTAAGTAAGCATCAAGAAAGAATGGAGGTCATTTTGTAAATTATAAATCCTTTGAAAACCCCAGTTGTCCTTTCTGTAAGCAGTTCAGAGTAGTTTTGTTGCTTGTCTTGGTTGCAGTACTTAAGTAACTTATGTGGTGTGGATAATTAGAAAAACACAACTATGAGTAACTACAAATTTGTGTACTTGAATTTCAGGCGCCATCGTAGTAGAAGCAGGGAACGAAAGAAGTCTCGGTCCAGGAGTAGGGAGAGGAAGAAATCAAGATCTCGAAGCAGAGACAGGAAGAAGTCACGATCCAGAAGCAGGGAAAGAAAACGGCGGATCAGATCTCGCTCACGCTCAAGATCAAGACACAGGCATAGGACTAGAAGCAGGAGTCGGACAAGGAGTAGAAGTCGGTAGGTGCTCGTCACCCTGAGTGGAATCTATGAAGTCCCCTTAGAGGCTCTGTTCATCTTCAGTCAGAATGTTAAAACTGCGCATCATAATTTTATTTGCAGACGTCAGTAAAACTGCTTTAATCATAACCTAATACAGAGCAAGTGAATTCATATGTTTTCGGGTAATCTGTAAAGAAACAACCTGAATAAACCTATTAAATTCATCTTTTTTTTCCCAACACTGGATTCATTTTATATGTGAAAAGAGCAAACATGGATTGTGTGACTCCACGTGCTCCCAAGCTTTTGCCTGTTTTAGCACATCAAACCCTCAAAACAACCATGTTGTAAGTTTTAGTGAGGTTAGATGACTTGACGAAGAAGCCAAAAATCCTAAGTGCAAGAGTCAGGTCCAGTTTCCAAACAAATCTGGATACAAAGTCCATGGGATATGCTTAGTCCACTTTAGTGCATATCCCATATCACATTTTCAAGATGAACGAACTTAATTCAAACTCTTGTGGAAGAGAAGTACAATAAAGAGCATCAGAGGATAAATTAGCTATAAATATTAAGTCCGTGTTTGGTCATATAGCTTGATTTTGTTTTTCTGTGAGAGAGAGCTCTCACCCACTAGTTCCCATACCAGTGCTGCGAAAGGGCTGCGGCTAAGGCTAGGAGCCAGGAAATCAATCCAGGTCTTCTGCAGGGCTGGCAGAAACCCAAGCACTTGAGCAATCACCTCTGCCTCCCAGAGTCTACTGTAACTGGAAGTCAGGAGTGGCGTGAACTAAAGTGTGTTGCTTCAGTGTCGGACGGGAGTCTGAACCAGCATCTCGCTGGTAGGCTGCATTTCCATTTGTTTATTTTGGGAAAAAAATTATATATATATAACAGAACCAAAACTCACAGCCAGGGACTCCAATGAGAGAGAAACCAACTGCCTGCCCCTTTGGTTCTGATCTGTAGTTGAGTAACGGAACATTCCCAAATAAGAAATTAAGTGAATCAAATGTAAATGAGGCGTTAAGTTTTTCAGTCATCTTTTGGACAGTCACAATGACATTTGTAGTTCTCGCTGTTAACTTTGATTCTGATCAGTGAATATTTTTGTGTTTAATTCTGCTAATTCTTTTGTTTTAGTTACTAATTTTGTGTTTTAGAAACACAGATTTCATTGTAAATACTAGAAACAGTTGACTGGTCAATCCCTGTTGCATGCATATTGACTTCCAAACAAAATAACTGTCTTGTGCTGATTTTGCAACATTGTGTTTACTATGCCAAAGACTGGAAACAACCCCTGTTGTTCTGTCCAGCTATAGCATAGATGATTAAATAAATTGGCAGTGCAAGCAAGAAACTTAGTATAACTGTGGAAGACGTGCAACAGGTAAAGAAGGAAGCGGTGCTACATGTTTATGTCATTTTGGTTTTTATTAAATAGTGTAAATATATAAACATGAATACATAAGCGCAACCATGATATACTTAATTTCTACTCGAAATAATTGCCCCTTGTTACAGTGAAACATGCGTAATACGGTTTTTTGCAGAGACAGAAAGAAGAGACTTGAAAAGCCGAGAAGATTTAGCAGAAGTTTAAGCCGAACTCCTAGTCCACCTCCCTTCAGAGGCAGAAACACAGCAATGGATGCGCAAGAAGCTTTAGCTAGGAGGTGTGTCTTTATTTAATTCATTATTCCTTTTTAACTTTAAATAGATGCTGAGTTATGTGGATGGAAATGAATGTTTTCAGTCAGGGTAATTTAAATAATTAAATCTGTTAGTGCTGTGGCGCTTTTCTGCTAGCAAACTGCTTCAGTAGTTTTTGAATTCTCATACGTTCATTTACGTACAACTAGGAGGGCTGAGATGTCTAAGAATAGTTCCTGTTTTTTGTTTTTCTTTCTTCATAATTAACTGATTCATTTTTCTCAAGAAATTTAGATTCCTACATCTGAGAACTTTTTTGAACCTTAAACTGGTACAGAAGCTGTTAATTTTGCCTTCAAAATGGCTTTGCCTCTACTTTTTTTCTTAAGACCAAATACCTGAAATATTAAGAATTCTGTCAGTTTTTATTTTGAAGATGGCAAATAATGGTTATGCATTATAACCCAGTGTACTTGATCTTGCATGTATTACTACTGAAAACATAGCAAACAAAAAAAATTTTTTTTTTTTTTTTTAATTTTCTGTTGTTTCAAGGACAAGTGATTGTGGTACTTCACAGCAGGACTTTTTGAGGGAAACCTGCAACATGATTCTGAGAACTGCCTCACAGGAGGCAAGAACAGACCTCACGTGTTTTGGCAGGTTTTCTCGTACGAATTCTGAAAATTATGGTCTTTCAATCTTGGGTGTTTTTTTCCTCTTCACAAAATTGAGTTTGTATTTTTTTTTCATTACAATAATGCAGTTATCACAATGTCACCTGATGTGCTGCTGCCCTGTGAACCCAGCCTGGAAGAAACTCCAGCTGAACAGCAGCAGCAAAGGTGTGAGCTCACGCGTTCTTCACGCCATTCACCTCAGTGAATGGTGTTAATTCCAAATCTGCAGTGGCTGTTTTAATGCAACCAATAGTAGGCACTCATAGTTTCTTTCTGAAACTAAAAGCAACAGAATTCTGAAATGATTTACTTCAAACTCTGATGTAGTGTATAATGAAAGGTCCATTAAGTTCTGACAAGTGTTTCCTAAGCCAGAATGTTTGTTTTCACTTTTATATGTCTTAAGTTTTTGTTGAAATTTTATGAGTGAAATTACTAGCATGTAAAACTTTTTTTAAGATTTATTGTTATTTATTTGAAAGAGAGTTAACAGAGACAGGTAGAGTCTTCCATCTACTGTTTCACTCCCCAAATGGCCTCAACAGCTGGAGCTGAGCCCATCCATCTGAAGCCAGGAGCTTCTTCTGGGTCTCCCATGTGGGTGCAGGGGCCCATCCTCCCCTGCTTCTCCCAGGCATATTAGCCAGACTTGAACCAGCACCCATATGGTATGCCAGTGCTGCAGACCAGGGCTGTAACCCACTGTGCCACAGCGCCAGCCCAATGTAAAACATCTTTGACTTAGTGATCTCCCGTGTGAAAAGTTTCTGTGAAATCCTGTGATTTCAGAACATCAGGTTAGTTTTTTGGGTATTTTGATGAGGGAAATATTTTGCCTACTACGTATTATAGCATATAGACTTGTTGGGTTTTTTTGTTTGTTTGTTTTTAACATTGATTTAAAAGGCAGAGAGACAGAAAGATCTTTTATCCATCCACTGTATCACTTTCCCAAACGGCTGCCACAGTTAGGCCTGGGCCAGACCAAGGGCAAGAGCCAAGAGTGCATCTGAGTTTCCCACTTGGGTGGCAGGGCCCAAGCATTCAGGCTGTCTGCTACTGCTTTCCCAGGCTCATTAGCAGGGAGCTTGAACTCATGTTCATGTGGGAATCTGGGGGTACAGGCAGTGACTTAACCCGCTATGTTTTTCTGATCTGTGGCCTCCATTTTATTGTTACCCTTAAAACTTTGATTCTCAAGGATGAAATCAGATGAAGCTATATGGTCCTCCCTACACATGAGCTCAGTAAGGAATAAAATTCTAGATTTTAAAATTCCTTTGATGTAAATTACAGCAGTTTTTAAAACATGCCAGTTATTTGTCACTGTATTTTTTTATTCACAGTGACCCAGTTCTTGCCACTTTATACCACATTAGAAGGGGAATGGTGGCATTTTAACTTAAGATTGGTAAATCAAGTTATGAAAGAAAAGGTATTTAATTTCAGGAACTGATTATAAACATAGTATTACTTATTCTATAGGAAGCGATGGTGATGAGTATTTCTGCACACATATTTGTTATTAAATTTAATGTGAAATAGGATTTATTTGTTTGGGGATTAAATACTGTGTTTGGTTACCAGTTCCTTTGCTGGTGATAAATTTCTTCAGTGGCTAAAAAGTACATTCCTATCTTCCCCTATTCAATAGATTATGGAGAATGGTGGAGTTTTAAACTGTTAACCACTTTCTTTGACTACTATATATAAAAATTATTTTTTTAATTCATTCAAAAATGCTTAAGTCTAGTAATTAACTTTTTTTCTCTATCAGTTGGAGGAAGGGGTGTTAAGCTAACTTTAAATCATAATGTATTTTGTCTCTAGTTAAAGATATATGTATTTTATTTTAAATTTATTTAATTTGTCTTTGACAGGTTGGAAAGGGCAAAGAAATTACAAGAACAGCGAGAAAAGGAAATGGTTGAAAAACAAAAACAACAGGAAATGGCTGCAGGTATTTTTTTCTTTTTTATAGAATTGTAGTTATGTTTATGGAAATTTTTGAAAGTACACAAAGGTAACAGGAAGAAAGTCACTTGTGGTAGCTACTGACAGTCAATACACTAAGGAATTTCAGTGTTTTCTACCTCATTCTTTTTTGACAGGCAGAGTGGACAGTGAGAGAGAGAGAGACAGAGAGAAAGGTCTTCCTTTGCCGTTGGTTCACCCTCCAATGGCCGCCGCGGCCGGCGCGCTGCGGACGGCGCACCGCGCTGATCCGATGGCAGGAGCCAGGAGCCAGGTGCTTTTCCTGGTCTCCCATGGGGTGCAGGGCCCAAGCACCTGGGCCATCCTCCACTGCACTCCCTGGCCATAGCAGAGGGCTGGCCTGGAAGAGGGGCAACCGGGACAGAATCCGGCGCCCCGACCGGGACTAGAACCCGGTGTGCCGGCGCCGCTAGGCGGAGGATTAGCCTAGTGAGCCGCGGTGCCGGCCACCTCATTCTTTATGCGATGGTATTGTTCATTACATCCATGCAGATACTGAGTAATAACTTGGTTGTCTCTGCAAATGTCTTCTGCTTATGCAGGTTTTTAAAGAAGAAGTTGATCAGAAATATGCATTGTCTTTCCTGATTTATCTATTTATTCATCTGCAAAGCAGAATGACAGGAAGAAGAGAGTTATGTTCTATACTCTGGTTTACTTCCTAAATTCGCACAACATCCAGTGCTGTGCCTGGCCAGAGCCCAAGCACTTGAGCCCTCTGAAGCAGGGAAGCTGAGATTCAAACTTGACACTCGAGTATGAGATCCCGGCCTTTTTTTTTTTTTTTTTTTTTTTTTTTAAGGATTTGTTTGTTTACTTGAAAGTTGCACAGAAAAAGAGGCAGAGAGAGAAAGGTCTTCCATCTGCTGGTTTACTCTTAAAAACTGCTGGGTCAGACTCCCTCCACCCTAGTGGTACCCATTTGAATATTCCAAAATTTAACAAAACTGCAATTCTGTTTTTAGTAAGAGCACATAATTATAAAAGTACTTTGAGAATTTGATTCCTTATAATATCTGTAACTTCTAAGTTTTTTATGGTCATGTTCTGAATGGACAAAAACATGTAATCAGTCATTCTATGTAGAGGTAACCAACTCCACTACAGTGGAATAACTACTTGGCCTTACTCTCTTTTATATGCGCATTAACATGAAATATTAGGATTTCATAGTATGTAGATGAGATACATTTCATAGTTTATAAAGAACCCTAGGGAGATGAGACCATTATTGTATTACAGCTGTGAGCACCATAGTTTATTGGTTCTGTGATCATACCTTCTCTTCATCCTTGGAGAAGTAGATGAGGTTTGAGAATATATTAGTATTCATGTGCAGACATATGTCTGGTGGTGAACGCATTTAGTGTTTGCTAAAGTGCTAATACTTTACAAAAACTAATATTTGATTATTTTCTTGTACCAGAAGATCTCAAAAATTCATGGAAAATGGGTCATGAATAAACTGTACATGAATCAGCCAAAACGCCAAAATTTAGCCTTTTAATTGTTAAAGGAACTTTTTGAAGTACCTTCATTTGGGGAAAATAATTCTGCCTATTTGCAGATTAGAGGGTTTCTATATGTGAATAACATGTTAATGTACATTAGAAGGTCTGTTTTCAAGTCCATGCTTTTGTCCTCCTCAGCCGCTGCCGCTACTGGAGGTTCTGTTCTTAATGTTGCCGCCCTGTTGGCGTCAGGAACGCAGGTAACTCCTCAGATAGCTATGGCAGCTCAAATGGCAGCCCTGCAGGCTAAAGCGCTGGCCGAGACCGGGATAGCTGTTCCCAGCTACTATAACCCAGCTGCTGTGAATCCCATGAAATTTGCCGAACAAGAGAAAAAAAGGAAAATGCTTTGGCAAGGCAAGAAAGAAGGGGTAAGTTCTTCTATTCCATGTTTTATCATTCTGATTAGCAATTGCATAGAAAGACAAGTGTGAATTGAGAAAGATTAGTTTGGATTTTTCTCTGAAAACCTCCTGGAGTAGTGTAATATGCCGTAGTTATTCCATACTGGAATAAGGCATGCATGATCTCAGTGAGGCTTTCCATGAAAACTAGTATCGCCATGATGGGAAAAGAGGCTGCTTAGATGAGGCATTTTTACCAAAAAAAAGTGAGATGCTTGTTTGCTTCATTAATCCATAATGCATAATCTTAGTAAACTCTGTTGCTAGACTGCCATAAGTGGTATTGTTTCTTTTATTTGAAATATTGAGAAAATTGGTATTTGGACAAAAAATACTTAAATTTTATAAGTTGTAAAATTTAGTATTTCTTCACAGGATAGATCCCAGTCTGCTGAAATATGGGAAAAATTGAATTTTGGAAACAAGGACCAAAATGTCAAATTTAGGAAATTAATGGGTATTAAGGTGAGTTACACTTTGTATTAAAATTTATACTGTTTTCACAGTAACCGTTTTCAGTGTCAAAACATTCTAGTAGTAAGTCTGCGTGGATACTTTGTCGTGCTTTATATTCTCCAAATTCATAACTTAAACCCTTAGTTGTCACTATTTATCCATTAAATTAGCACATTTGTTTGTTATTACTGACATTTTAGGTAAGAGTTTGTTAGGGAAAATATACTCTTATTTTCAGTGCTTAATGGGGGAAGAGCTTTTGTTTTAAGTTGTAGAGAACTGGGTTTTGAATGCAGGCACAGTGTTAACATGGAGAGGTCCACAAGTGCTGGGCAGAGGATTAGTTGTTCGCTGAGGCAGTATTTGGCTTAAGTCAAGCTGCACTAAGCTGGCTGCGAATCTGGAGCGTGCACTGGAGTCTGGACTTGCTGTTAGCCCTCCTGGCACTATTCCTCCCTCAGAAACCTGCCTATTTCCAGTGCTGGTTTCTGCTCAGATGTCACTTGAAAAAACAGCGAGCATTCCTGTTGCCAATTTGTGTGTTATTTTTCTCTGTGGGGTTTATATACTGTCCAACATACTCTTCACCACCCCACTAAAATGCAGCCTGTTGCTGTTACATCCTCTATTGCAGACCTGGAAGAACACTGTCTTGTACTTTGTAGGTGCCTGAAGAATGGAGACAGTCCTTGAGGGCAAATACCTATCAAGGGAGACTTAGGGATATTATGAAGGGAGAGAATTACATTTTGTTACCCTCTGTACTCACTTAATATTTTATGTCTAATACTTAGAGTGAAGATGAAGCTGGATGTAGCTCAGTTGATGAAGAAAGTTACAAGACTTTGAAGCAGCAAGAAGAAGTATTCCGAAATCTAGATGCTCAGTATGAAATGGCAAGGTCACAGACCCACACACAGAGAGGAATGGGCTTGGGTTTCACATCCTCAATGCGCGGAATGGATGCAGTCTGAGAAGATCACGCTTGTAAAGTTTGGGACTTCGTAGACTTCTTGTTCTGATGTCGGGTCCTTGTTCACCAAACAGCTAGCATTCTAGCTTGCATGGGTGTTGCATTGACTTTAATTTATTGAAAAATACAATTTTTTTGTAAATATCAGATCAGTGATACTGGTGTTAGTGTTGTAATCAGGTTAAACCCACTTCCATTAAACTTGACAGGACTATAGAAGGACAATATTTTTTAGTTCATGAATTCTACTTTTCAAATATATAAGAGCTTCAGGTGGGGTAAAATCTCATACATAGATTTTTCGTGTCCACTGTCTTGTGTACTTTTGTACTTAACCTTGTACAGTTATTTTCATCTCTTGAAACATGAAAGAAATGTTATGTAGGTGTGCTTTAGAAGATCTGGCCATTTGGTATAAAATCCAGCACAAGTAAGCTGGGTGGTGATGATAATAAAAATGGTTTTCTCAAAACTGGTGTTTAATTTAAGTCACCTGGAATTCTTGTTTGTTTTATGGTTTCTGTAGCATTTTGCAATTGCTATTAGAAAACACTGGTTAGAAACTTTTCTTTAAGAACAGTCAACTATGCTGTAGGTAACACCATGGTGAGCAACAATGTAAGAGGAAGGTGGGAGGAGCAAATAAGTTTATTAAAATAATACTGTTTTCCTACTATAAGGGCAGAATTGGTGTACAGTATTTGTCAAATATTCCATATGTTATTCAGGAAATAGCTTAATGCATTAAAGGGATGTAAGCACTTTTATTTTAATAAAGTGCCTTATAACAAGTCCTTTGTATTCCCTTTTCTCGTTATCCCTTTGAAGTGTTCTCTAGCATGACCTAAAACATTAGAAGATAACATTGTCACGAAAATGAGAGCAGCTTAAATCTGGGAATGAGGCGGAACTACAAGAGTTAGTTGACTTTTGTTATAACACAATAATGTTTGAGAAACATCACGATGTAACACCACACAACAAAGACTGATTAAGGATAACATTTAGGGGCTTGCGCTGTGGCACAGCAGTTAAGCCACTGACTGCAGCTCCGGCATCCCATATGGGCACTGATGTGAGTCCCAGCTGCTGCACTACCATCCAGCTCTCTGCTAATGAGCCTGGGAAGGCATCAGAAGGTGGCTCAAGTGCTTGGGCCCTCTGCTGCCCACGTGGGAGACCTGGATGAAGCTCCAGGCTTCAGCCTTGCCCAGCCCTGGCTGTTAGGCCTTTTGGGGAGTGTATAGCAGATTGAAGATTTCTCTTCCTCTGTAACTGCTTTTCAAATAAATTTTTTCAAAAAAGATACAACACCCTACTCTTTTAACAAAAATTACTGTTAGGTATGTTTTTTTGTTACACATGAAACTCAAGTAATTAAGATTTTTTTAATGTGCTTTAGTAAAGGTGTAGTTTTCTAAGATGCCATTGAGGGGCCGGCCTTATAGCACAGTGGGTTAAAGCCCGGACCTGAAGCACCAGCATCCCATATGGGCACTGGTTCTAGTCCTGGCTCTTCCACTTCTGATCCGGCTCTCTGCTGTGGCCTGGGACAGCAGTGGAAGATGGCACCAGTCCTTGGGCCCCTTCACCCGTGTAGGAAACCCAGATGCTGCTCCTGTCTCCTGGCTTTGGGTCTGTGCAGCTCCAGCTGTTGCAGCCATCTGGAGAGTTAACCAGCAGAATAAATGAAATCTTTTAAAAAAAAGATGCCATGGAGGTATGCTGTGGGGAAATTAGACACAAGAGGCAATTCAAAAATGGCGGCCTAAGGAAGTAAGGTCGGCGGTATCCAAAGTTGTCTACCACCAAAGCTGATTGCCTGCGCGGCATCAGGGGAGATGACAACTGATGACGACAGTCCAGGCATGTGGCTGGTCCTGTAGAAAATGGCCCCTGCTACCCTTGTCAGAGACCAAGAAGTGGCTCCTGGCCTTGGTCTGGCCCAGAACAGGCCTCAAATCTATTCCAGCAGTGTCTCACCAAAATGCTTCAACAATGCCTTCTAGCAGCCCAGTTACTTCACCATCAGATAACCAAAATGGAACTGCTCTTTGCCACTGGGGCTTGGCCCCACACCCGGTTTTTGTTTTTTTGTTTTTTTTTTTTTTGTTTGTTTTGACAGTGGACAGCGAGAGAGACAGACAGAAAGGTCTTCCTGGCCGGCGCCGCGGCTCACTAGGCTAATCCTCCGCCTAGCGGCGCCGGCACACCGGGTTCTAGTCCCGGTCGGGGCGCCGGATTCTGTCCCAGTTGCTCCTCTTCCAGGCCAGCCCTCTGCTGTGGCCAGGGAGTGCAGTGGAGGATGGCCCAGGTGCTTGGGCCCTGCACCCCATGGGAGACCAGGAAAAGCACCTGGCTCCTGGCTCCTGCCATCGGATCAGCGCGGTGCGCCGTCCGCAGCGCGCCGGCCGCGGCGGCCATTGGAGGGTGAACCAACGGCAAAAGGAAGATTTTCTTTCTGTCTCTCTCTCTCACTGTCCACTCTGCCTGTCAAAAAAAAAAAAAAAAAGAAAGAAAGAAAGGTCTTCCTTTTCCGTTGGTTCACCCCGCAATGGCAGCTGCGGCTGGCGCACCGCCTGATCCGAAGCCAGGAGCCAGGTGCTTCTCCTGGTCTCCCATGGGGTGCAGGGCCCAAGCACCTGGGCCATCCTCCACTGCACTCCCGGGCCACAGCAGAGAGCTGGACAGGAAGAGGAGCGACCGGGACAGAACCCGGCGCCCCGACCAGGACTAGAAGCCGGTGTGCCGGCGCTGCAGGCAGAGGATTAGCCTAGTGAGCAGCGGCGCTGGCCACACCCATTGTTCTCTGAAATGACCGTTTATCCAACCAGCTTAAGTCCGAATGCTAAGTCAAGACCTTCTCCATTACCTGAATGCATTCCTGAATGAGATTTGTTGCTCTAGTTTTCAACATTCTCTACTTCTCCATACTTAGCTAACTTCACGACTATTGACACTTTAATTCAAGTGAACACCCTCAACTATAAAAATCTTACCAAGGGGTAGGCATTGAGGCACAGCCGATTAAGCTGCCGCTCGAGATGTCCAAGTCCTGGCCACACTTCTTCGGTCCCACTTCCTGTTCATGCGCCTGGGAAGGCTGCAGATGATGGCTCAGGTGCTGTGAGCAGCCAGGATGGAGCTCCGGGCTCCCAGCTTCAGTATGTCCAGGCCTGGATGTTAGAAGCATTTGGGAAGTGAGCAGTGGATGGGGAATCCGCCTCTCCCTTTCAGATACTTTAAACAAAGCCAACCTGCCAACAAGACTTGGGGAATTTTGCTCTGGCTCCATCCTCAGTCTATTTCCCCCTGTGGTCAGAGCTATGTGACCAAAACGTAGATGCACCGGTCACCCACACACTGCCTGTTCCAGTGGCTGCAGGGACCCCCAGTGTGGACTGAGTCGGTCCGGCTTCCGCATGGCACCGCCCCTGGGTCCCACCCAGCGCCAGCACTGCTGGCTCAGTCCTCCAGAGCGCCCGGCTCGCACAGACCGGCGGGCTTCCTTGTCACATGTCTAACTTGGGGTTCCCCTTTCAGTGTGGGAAACGGGGCTTTTGGTGGTGTTTTCGTGATTTGTAGGCTTCCTGACTGGGAATCGGGGTCACTCCGCTTCCTCAGGTTCCTGACAGGGCCCGACACACTGCAGGCGGTAAACAGTGACCGGCTGGTGGAACGACACACCCATTACCCCAGCGAGCGAGCTACTTTTACGCGAAAACGAGCCCAATACACTCCGGTCGCACGCCCGTGATCACAAACGAAGGCGGGAGGTCCTTGTCCTCTTGTGTATCGCGGACGCGAGAATCGCTGTAGGCCCTGCCTTTGGTGGCCACGCAGCCCCTGCAGCCAGGCTGTTTTAACACCTGGTCTGGTCCTGTCCGGCGGGATTCGCGTTTGCAAAACGACTAATCCCAGTACGCAGCGCGAACAATGAGTTAACAGTCGCTTAGAAACCACCCGGCCCAGCATGCAGTGCGCCCACGCAGCCCCGGAAGTGCCTTTGCGTGGGGCCGTTGCATGCCGGGACTTGTAGTCTCCCAGGGGCTGGCCCCGCCCCTTGTGCGGCCTGCGGTAGGAGAAACCGGGGCCCTGACGAGCGGTGCCGCCCCTGCGACCTTCGCCCTCCTCCGAGGTGGCTGGCTCCGCCTCCTCGCGAATCTCTCTCGCAACCCAAAATGGCGGCGGAGGTGGATTTCGGCGACCTGGAGCTCTTTGAGGCGTTTGACCACCCAGAGGAGTCGATTCCGAAGCCCGTCCACACTCGCTTCAAGGACGATGACGGGGCCGAGGAGGAGGACGAAAACGGTGTTGGCGACGCGGAGCTGCAGGCGCGGCTCCGGCAGTGCGAGGAAACCATCGAGCAGCTCCGCGCCGAGAATATCCTTCCCGCTCGCCGGGCCCTGTCCCCGCGGCGTGGGGTTCCAACGGGGCCGGGTTCCAAGTCACTTCCCGCGCCCCGCGGGCAGGCCGAGGCGCGGGCCTGGCCAGCGCGGGCCGCCTCGGGACCAGACGCCCCTCTCCGGCCCCAGCGGGCGTCGTGCGAGTGCCCCGCGGTCGGGGTGGCCCGGTCACCGCCGGGCGGCCTCGCTGTCACACTCGCGGTCGCGGTCAGCCCTGCGGTCAGGGCTGCGGGCCTGGAGGAGCCGGCCGGGCCGCGAGGCGTGGCGGACTGCGCGCTGCGGGTCGGGACGCAGCCTGGAGTTCACGCAGCTCCGAGCCGGCGTCCGCGCTGCGGGAAACGCGCCAAGCGGCTTTGCGTTTCCGCGAGTGAGGGTGAGGGCTTTGCCGGTGGCGGGGGGTTCGCTTTAAAGCCATATACAGATAATTCTGTTTCAAGCGGCTGCCCCTGCCGCCTGGAAGTGGTTGTCAGAGGCTGGTTCTCGTGCCCCGGGGCCGCTGTCCTCGACCTGCTTGCAAGCGCAGAGCCGTGGAAAGCTTGCGCCGTGGGCTCCGTGGCTTGCATCGCAGAGCCCACGTCGCCGACGCGGTGCTGCTTGCTTTCTTCCTAGCGCGGGACCCTGGCTTGGAAGTTTTTAATTGGCTGTGTAGGCTTTCCTGGAGGGCACCGCTGTGTCTGGCTCCGCCCGGTAGTCCCTTAACTTTTACTGTCCTGTCTTAGACCTGTGTCCGAAGGGGTGGACATTCCGTTTCAACGTGGACGTCCAGCGCCTAGTCCCCGCAGCAGCACGGGGGCCCAGCGTGTGTGCCGTGCGATCTCCTGTAACGTTAGCGAGAGTGTGCCAGTTGACTTTTATGGTGTGCGTGGTTTTGTTTAATGAGGACTATTATTCCTTAATAACTAATAACATCAAGAACTTAAAAGAAAATTGAACATTCTGACTCGACCGAGGTATGAGGTCTTACAGCTGTCCCATAGTTTCCCTTCTTACTTATCCTGATACTGATATTGAATCACTATTTCTTTGTATAAAAGGTACAGGATTTTTGGAGCACTTTTAGTTGTTCAGCATACTCGAGAAATCAGTAATTATCCTTCGTTCTTAATCTGGGGGGGTAAAATCGAAGTTCTGAGCGCGCTCAATTTTTTAACCGGCTGATGAGTGAAAGTATTTGTGAAACAATCCAGGACCTTTTGACTTAATGTTTAGAACTGGCGGATTGTCAGCCCCGCCCCGCCGTTCCTGTTCCTGGGAAGTTAAGGTTAGGGTTACCATGTCCCTCTCGCGGAGATGTGCTTACACAATCGAAATCTGTTCTTAGTAGAAACCGTGCACGATACAGTGTTTTAAAAGAAGCAGGTAATGCGCTTTTGAAAAAAAAGTAGACAGCAGATTTCAGCATCCCATTTCAACAGATTAAAGGCTTGTTCTGCTGATATAAATTTAGCAGATCACTAGTTAAGTAGAGATTTTATTATGTGGAATGGTACTTTACATCTTTCAGAATTTGGGGGTGCCCTGATGTAATTTATGTGTGTGTGTATATATATGTATATATATATATATATTTTTTTTTTTTTGGACAGGCAGAGTGGACAGTGAGAGAGAGAGACAGAGAGAAACTGATGTAATTTTACATGCACAATTTTGTCCCTCATACTGGTTGAAGTAACTGGCTACATTGGTTACTAAAACCTTTTATTTAAAAGTCTTCAAGAAGCCGGCGCCGTGGCTCAATAGGCTAATCCTCCACCTTGCGGCGCCGGCACACCGGGTTCTAGTCCCGGTCGGGGCGCCGGATTCTGTCCCAGTTGCCCCTCTTCCAGGCCAGCTCTCTGCTATGGCCAGGGAGTGCAGTGGAGGATGGCCCAGGTGCTTGGGCCCTGCACCCCATGGGAGACCAGGAGAAGCACCTGGATTCTGGCTCCTGCCATCGGATCAGCGCGGTGCGCCGGCTGCAGCGGCGGCCATTGGAGGGTGAACCAACGGCAAAGGAAGACCTTTCTCTCTGTCTCTCTCTCTCACTGTCCACTCTGCCTGTCAAAAAAAAATTAAAAAATAAAAAAAGTCTTCAAGAATAACTTCCTCATGGCTGACCTTTGTTCCTCTAGATGAGTGCACTTTGAATATCTTATTTTTGGTTAGATATAAAATGTGTTAAATGTAACAAGGATTCCTCATTTAAGAAGAAGCCGCCATTTTTGTTTGTTAGAGATACTCTTGGGAGCAGAGCCCGGTGCTGGCTCCAGTGGTTGGGTCCCTGCCGCTGGCATGGGAGACTCGGGCTGACTGGGAGCCAGGCTGGAGGCTTCAGCCTGTTTCAGTGTAAACTAGCAAATGGGAGATTCTCTTTCTTTCAAATAAATAAAAATAAACTTAAAAATTTAAAATAAATGAAAGATACTCTATTTTAAATACATTTCCTGATAGAGTTGATCATTTAAACATTAAGTGTTTATCTTAAAAGTTGTGGTGGCTGGATCCGCGGCTCACTAGGCTAATTCTCCACCTTGCGGCGCCAGCACACCGGGTTCTAGTCCCGGTCGGGGCACCGGATTCTGTCCCGGTTGCCCCTCTTCCAGGCCAGACTCTGCTGTGGCCAGGGACTGCAGTGGAGGATGGCCCAAGTGCCTGGGCCCTGCACCCCATGGGAGACCAGGAAAAGCACCTGGCTCCTGGCTTCAGATCAGTGCGATGTGCCAGCCGCAGCGTGCTGGCCGCGGCGGCCATTGGAGGGTGAACCAACGGCAAAAAGGAAGACCTTTCTCTCTGTCTCTCTCACTGTCCACTCTGCCTGTCAAAAAAGTTTGTGGTAATCACACCCTAATCTCCATATTGTTTGAGAGTCAGCTGCTTTCTGACATCTGTTTTAGAATCCTGGTTTGGAGATGTTTGATACACCATACCTTGCCCTCCCGGGGTCTGTTCATGTATTTATAAGGGGTTTCACTTTCCTGCATACTCAAAGTTAAATACACTCAGGTTCATTTAGAAATAAATTATTTTTTTAATAATTTTTAAAAGATTTATTTGAAAGTCACAGTTACACTGAGAGAGGAGAGGCAAAGAGAGAGAGAGAGAAGAGAGGTCTTCTGTCCGCTGGTTCACTCCCCAGATGGCCGCAACGGCTGGAACAGTGCCATTCTGAAGCCAGGAGCTTCTTCCAGGTCTCCCCCATGGGTGCAGGAGCCCAAGGATTTGGGCCATCTTCCACTACTTTCCCAGGCCATAGCAGAGAGTTGGATTGGAAGAGGAGCAGCTGGGACTAGAACCGGCACCCATATGGGATGCTGGCGCTTCAGGTCAGGGCGTTAGCCTGCTGCGCCACAGCGCCGGCCCCTAGAAATAAATTATTGTAATTGTCTGGTATATCCAGTTCCTTCCTAGTTTGTAGAAAAACTGTCCAATCAGGTAAAGAAACTTTTTTGGTTGAAAACTGAAAGATTAAATACAGTTCTTAATTTTTTTATATTTTTATTTTTAAAGATTTATTTATTTGAAAGGCAGAGTTACAGAGAGGTAGAGAGAGAGAGAGAAAGAGATCTTCCATCTGCTGGTTCACTCCCCAGGTGGCCACAGTGGCTGGAGCTACTCCAGTCCGAAGCCAGGAGCTCTTCCAGGTCTCCCATGTGGGTGCGGGGGCCCAAGGGCTTGGACCATCTTCCACTGCCTTCCCAGGCCATAGCAGAGAGCTGGATCAGAAGTGGAGAGGCAGGGACTTGAACCGGCACCCATAATGGGATGCCAGCACTGCAGGCAGCGGCTTTACCCGCTATACCACATTACCAGTCCCCTTAATTTTTTTATATGTTAAGTAAAGGATACCCTTGGGTAAGACCATTAAATGAAATCAAATTGGCAAAGACTTAGATTTTCCTCGAGGACTGGAGTTCTTGGTGGTCTGGTCTTGTTTATGAGATACTGTGCAATCTTTGTTCCTTAAGAATTAGAGGGGCCTGTGCTGTGGTGCAGTCGTTAAGCTGGCCCTTCGGACACCAGCATCCCACATCAGAGTGCCGATGCAAGTCCTTGCTGCCCCATTTCTCATCCAGCTGCCTGCTCTGTGTCTGGGAAGGCAGAGGCAGACGGCCTGCGTGCTGGGGCCCCTGCCGTCATGTGGGAAACCTGGATGGAGTTCCTGGCTCCTGGCTTCAGCCTGGCCCAGCCCCAGCTGTTGCAAGCATGTAGGATGTGAACCAGTAGATGGAAGACCTTTTTCTCTCTGTCTCTCCCTTTTTCTCTGTCACTACATCCTTCAAATAAATCTTTGTTAAAAACAAAAGGTTATAAATTTTTTCTTTATATATACATATATATATGCAAGTTTTACTTTAATGTCTTCTAAGAATATGTTGTAACTTTTGTTTTAGTGGAATACTGGTGAACAATACTAAGCTAGATGGACCTCTATTACAAATTCTGTTTATGAACAATGCTATTTCAAAGTAAGTAATTCTTTCCCTATCATAAAAAATATGAGCTAATATGTTTACCAAACAATGTCTTCCATAAAGATGCTGCTTTTATCTTTATTCGTTTACTTAAAATGCTCTTGGAGTTAAAGTTATGGAATTAGGATTAAGAACAAGGACGTGGGACTCTTGTAAGCTGAACTGGGGTCTAGACTCTTACTCCCGACCCTGTGAACCTGGTCAGGCTCGGGAACCTTTCTGCATTTTCCGTTTCTGCACAGGAGAACAGGATGCTGTTGGTAACTGCCTCTTAGGTAGCTGAATGAGCTCCTGTCTGAGCCCAAGCAATGGCTTCTAATAAAGATACCGTACCATTGTATCAGTCGTAATGGTGTTGGCCTTTTCTCTCCCAGATGAGGTGACTGAGTTTTCCGTACTGAGTCTTTGAAGCCTACCCACGTGATTCCTTTCTATTAGCTAAACTAGACCCTTGCACGCTTCCCAGCATGCTTGGGTTTAGAGTAACTCAGTGCATTCCTGCGGTGCTTCTAGAGTGTTCTGAGATGGTTTGAGGCCTCGCCCTGTTGCTACCTCAGCGCATGGTCGTAGGCACTTCAGACAGTTCCTGTTCCTTCTGGGCTGGCCGAGGTAAAGAGAATGGATGCCAGGCCCATAACCCATTTTATCACTGAAGTGGAACCCAGGGCTGTGAGGGCGGGGCAGGGGCTCTGGCACTGCTGTCCCCGCCTCTCATTAGGATCAGCTCATGATAGTCCGGCTTCTGTCCAGCCCTCCTGTTAGGAGAATGTCATCAAGTCTGTGCAGAGGGAGCTCACTGCCATCTGGCAAGGCCTGGGCGCAGCTGAGGGCTGCGGAGTACTTAACGAGCATGGTTCCTGGCCCTAGAGGGCTAGAGGAAGTGGACCTCAATATTCTTTCTTGCATTGCATTTTGGTTTTATTTTTTCCAGCTTCATGTTTATGAGTGTGTCTTTCTGTATGCATGGAGAGTCTCTGGGAGGAGGACACAGAACACCTGAGCACTTCAGTTCATGCGTGTTGCAGACATAGCTGACCAGGAGACAGGAGAGCAAGGGAACTTTCAATTATGTAATCTTTTACTTCTTTTGGATTTTGAGCCATTTACATGTAGTATGTATTCAAAAGTTAAGTACATAAAGCGTATAAATAAAAGCCATTTATTTTTACAACTGTACAGCAGCTCTTCAGTACTAGCACTGTGTTAGATTATCATAATCATTTCATTGACTTGGCAACAGTGTGTATTTTTTCATAAGGATTAGGTTCCTGAGTGTTAGAGGCAGTGATTTATTAACCTGTAAAAAGCAAAATAAGAAAAAAAAAAACATAATAATGTGTAAGACATCAATCTATTAAATGTTTTACTGTCTGGACTCTAACCATTTTGTCTTCTTATACAGGCAGTATCATCAAGAAATAGAGGAATTTGTATCAAATTTAGTAAAAAGATTTGAGGAACAGCAGAAAAATGATGTGGAAAAGACTTCCTTTAATCTTTTGCCCCAGGTATTTCTAATTTAAAAGACTTTAAGATTAATAGGCTGTGCTTTTCACTGCCGGTTCTTAGGTCATGAGGATCCTCTTTGGTTCCCATCCTCCACCACTTAGGAATCGGAACACCCAGGACCTGACTTGATTGAGGATGTGGCTGTTTTGGTCAGGGTAGAAATGCTCAGATCCAGCTTCACCTAGAACTCTTGGTTTCTTAGCTTGGACACATAGATTGGGGCAGAAAGTTAATTTCAGGACAGAAAAGAAAATCTCTGTTTCTGGGGTTTATAAAAAAAATCTTACCAGCAGAATCATGTGCTGTGTGTGTTTTTCAAAAGTCAGTACTGTGTCCAAAAAAACTGAATCTTGAGAAATTTCACTTGTGAACATTAGAGCATGAGTTTATATGTCTGAACTTTTTTCAATTAAAAATGCAGGTAAGTAGATTCTGTCAAATAAGGATCTCCAGCTGCTCATCCTCAGGAGTTGGAGAATGGAGCATGCTGATTACATTTTTAAACATCCTTAGTTTTTATGCATCATGTAAAATTTTTAACAATTGTAGCCTTTCTGAACATCATTAATTTTTTTTCAAGGAACACTTCAAACTTTTATAGTAGTGTGTGAACTCTGAAGGTTATATTTTTGGTATTTGCCAGTAATATAAAATTACCTATTTTTTTAAATCTTTCTGGTTATACAATTTCAAGGTAAAGTCATGCCTGCCTTGCTACTTTAAGTGTTGAAAGGTCTCTAATTAGCATTGATTAGCACAAGTCGTAGCGTATGCTAGCACTTCAGAAAAAGCTCTTTATATCTCTTCCTACTGCTGACCATTCTGAGCTTCCCTGCTAAGCTCACTAATCATGAAACCACAAGTACAAAATTTGATGTGCCTTAGTGTTGTGTATTAGGAAATAGAGGTGTGTGTCCAGATTCCTAAGATTTGAGATTTCGGTTTATTAAGCACTGATGGCCTTTTGTGATGTGTGTTTTCCTTTGCCTCAGCCATCCAGTATTGTATTAGAAGAGGACCACAAAGTAGAAGAATCCTGTGTCGTTAAAAACAGCAAGGAAGCTTTCAGTGTAAGTTGGGAATCCGGCAGATGGGCGCTTCCTCTTTCAGCTGGGTGGCATTAAGTGAATAGTGGTGTAGGCACACTTCATGTGACCACTGCATTCTTTCATAATAAACCATAATGAAGATTCAGTCTAACTATTATAGTTTTCTTTTTAATAACTACTGTATTGTGATCTCACGCACAGGAGACACACTTTGGAAGATTTCATTTTTGTCCTAACCAACCTCTCTCTGTTTATTTTCAAGAACTTGAATGAAGGACTAGATAGCTTGCTTGTTGAGCTTACAGAAGACTGGCACAGGGATAGATAACTAATAAAATAAACGGCAGATCTGAAAGTTAAAATGTTGATTGACATGACTGGTAGGTGGAAAACAGAAGCAGCTTAACAGAGAAGACAAACGTGGAGACCTTTCAGTGTCTGTGGTGTCAGTGCAACGTGGGGGCATGATATTTTAGAAGACAGCATCATTGTAGGATCTGTTAAAAGATGACAACAGTTTCCGTGTTCATGGGCTATTACCACCTGATTGACATACCACAGTGTTGAAGACATGGGGCTGCTGCATGGTGCCAGGCCCACAGGCCATACTGAAAAGATCTGCAGTGGCTGTCATCTCTCTGCAGATGGGACAGAGGTGGTTTTTTAGATCAGCCTTTATGCCAGAGGAAGAACCAGCGGGTAAATTGAGTATAAGCAGAGACATTTCAACTCAGCTTCTAGAAAGCTGAACTTTCTATCAGAGATGTAAAGAGTGAAGTGCAACATCTTACTAAATAAAGTGAACTCCATTTTTCACTAGAGTTAAATAAAAACCAAAATGCTATCTTTAAAGGAAAATTTGTGATTTTGAGCTAGGTAGCTTTTCTTTTTCCTTCTAACTGTTAAGGTTCTGGGATTTTAAGTGGTATCTACCTAGAAATTGAGTATTTTGTGTATTTATTAATGTCTTTTAACAAATGCTGATAAGTATGTACTGAAGGCTGCTTTGTGCCAGGAACTCTTCTAGGTTCCAGGGACACAGCAGTGAGAAAAAGGGCCAGGCCCCAGCTCCTTGCTGTCCCGTTCTGCTGGGGAAGGCAGATGACACAGGGACAGCATCTCTGAGCCCCGGCCTGGCTGCTTTGAGGGAGCAGGAACTGCAGACCACAGAACAGTACTTGAGAAGCCCGGAGGGAGAGGCCCGGCCAGTGCCACTGCAGGCCAGGGCCACAGACAGTTCGTGGAATGTGGAATTGGAAGATAAGTTTATTTGGGTACAAAGATTATGAAATCCATGTGTAGTTTTTTCGTAATACACGTTTCCGTGAACTATTTTAAAACCCCTCCTTTTTTTGGGGGGGGGGGGGCAGGTAGAGTTATAGATAGAGAGACAGAAAGGTCCTCCTTCCGTTGGGTCACTCCCCAAATGGCTGCTACGGCCAGCGCTGCGCCCATCCGAAGCCAGGAGAAAACCCCTCTTATGCTTGAATTTTACAGTGTTTTGCACCGAAATAAACATCTTTTAATTCCATCTTTCTGTGAACTTTTTGAAGCACTGGATGTGGGTTGTAAGTTCATTGTAGATGTTACTAGTTGGATACTGTTACTATGTGTATTTTATAGATGTAAGTGGCACAGCCAAGGTCTGACCCAGCGTGCAAGAGTACTTCACAAAGTTCATGGAAAATGGAATTTGAAGATACATCTGCTTTGGTACAAAAAAGCTTTGAAATCCATGTGAAAATTCTTTAGAAAGTTAATGAAAAAAATATATATATATTCTAGAAAAAAACATGCATGGGTTTTACTCCAAAATAAACTTAGCTTTTCACCTTTCCACAAATTTTTGAAGTCCCCTCATATGATCTGAGTCCCTGTGTTGACCGAGAGGCCATGGTGAGGACTTTGGGTTTTACTGTAAGATGAGAAGGCGTTTGACGATTTAGGTAGAAATGTGACGTGATAGGACTTGAGGTTTTATGTGGAATGTAGTCTGTGGCTGGTTATTCACAGAAGCTGTAAACTAGCTAGGAAGTTGTTATTGTATGTGTTATTATTTAGTGTTCTTTTTCTCTCTGCTGAGAGACCCCAGTGACAGTGGCAATGAGAAGTGAGAAGAACCCTATATCCTTGGAAAGCGGAGCTGATCAAACGTTATGAGTCAGCTGGATGTAGCCTGTGAGAGCAGAAGTAGAACTCAGGCTTTGGTCTGAGCAGTCGGATGGACGTCGTTGACTTTCTGTGCTGGTGAAGGCTGGAGGAGGGGCAGGTTGGAGGAGGCTGGAGGAGGGGCAGGTTGGAGGGGGCTGGAGTTGAGGAGGGGTCAGAACCTGTCCTTGGCAGGCTGTCGGTATTGCCTTGTATTTCCTGCCTGGGTCTGGGTTCGTCACTCGGGGAGTGAGAGTGGAGAGAGAGTAAGTTCTGAGCCCTAGCGCACCCTGGTGTGTAGAGGATGGAGAGAAGAGAAGGATCTGCGAAGAAGGTGGATAAATGGTCAGCAAGATAGGAGGAGAATGAGAGCAGGTGGCCTGGAAGCCAGAGGAGGAAGGCAGACTCAGCTATGTCCATCGCTGCTGATAGATGGAGTCAGATGAAGGTTGAGAGCCGTCCATTGAATTTTGCTGGGCGGAGGTCACTGGGGAGCTCCACTGTCAGGTAGCTTAGTGCCGTGACAGGAACACAAGAGAATGGCAGTGACATTTATAAGACATAGGAAGAATGTTTTAGACTAAGAGACTAAAAAGATATAGCATCTAAATGTAATACATACACTTTAATCAAATTCTGACTTGGAAAAAACCCAAAAACTATAAAAGGCATTTGGGTGACAGTTGGGGAAAACTAAATACAGCTTAGTTACAGGTGAAACTTAAAGTTATTGATTAGTTTTCTTAGGTGTAACAAGATATTGTGGTTTATAGGTTAATAATCTAGAAAGCTCAGATTGAAGTACTTATAGATGAAATGTCATGGTCTATGCAACTGACTTCTCACATGGGTGTGTGTGTGTATGGGTGTGTGTGTACAGACACAGACCAGAAGTGTCCAGCAATGAACAAATGTTGGTTGCATCTAGGTAAAAGGGATGTGAACATTCATACACTGCTTTTTTCAACTTGTCTGTGAAATTTTCCCCAGAAATTGGAGGGAAAAGAAAAGAATCAATGAAAATAAAGGAAATGGAAACAGTAAATATATCTTAGGATCTTCAAAGAGAATCAAAGAAATGTTGTATTGTGAGAGTCAAGGCTTTTATTTTTTGAATTCTGGAGAGAATATAGCTGATAGTTATGACCTAGTACAGAAGAAAAACTCAGATGTAGCTTTTCCTTACACATCCAAATCCTGGCTCCTTTAACCAGGGAGTTAATTATTTCTAACAATTTCATCCAAAAATGGACTGTTAAAACAACTAATCATAGTCTTACATTATTCAATGTCTTCTTTTTCCTGCTTAAATAGCAATATTTTTTGACTTGTTTTCTGCAGGTTGTAGGAAGTGTCCTGTATTTTACTAATTTTTGCCTTGATAAATTGGGGCAACCGCTACTAAATGAAAACCCTCAGCTTACCGAAGGATGGGAAATACCCAAGTATCCTACCTAGTGAATGAAGACCATTTATGCATCTTGCCACTAAGCTCACCTTTTAAAAAGTTTACCAAATTTTGCAGACTATGATAACTGTTCCTTAATAAAACTCACTAAAGGTACCAGCAAGTCTTCAGCCACATTGTTTCTCTAGAAGGGCAAGAAATACAAGTAAAGGCAAAAAGGTTTGTGTGGGCAGTTGTTCTGTGTTATTTTTTTTTTCTTAACCAAAACCATAAACTCTTTTAGCTTGAAAAGTTAATGTTCTTTATTGCTGGTTTACTGTAAAGTAAATTACAGATTGAGCTAGAATTTCTATATACAGGAATATAGTAAATGTTTAAATCGGTCATGTGTTTCTTGGAATTAGTTTATGCCTGAGGGGCCTGGAGGGTGGAAAGGTATGATTGCTGTCGTAGAGCCTCCTGCCTTCTTTCCGTGTTACCTAAGGGAAGCAGGAAGTCTGTTTGCTTGGTTCTTCTGTTATTAATCACTAGAAAACAAACAAGGGAGCAGATCAGTCAGGAACAGACTGATTCTTGGTTAGAAGGCTGCAGCACTGTTTGCTTAAACCACTCCGTGTAAGAGCTGTCAGTGTACTCACTACTGCAGATCCTGCTTGCTTTCTTGTCTCTCTGATACACTCTGCTGTTGTACAGAATTTTATCGGTTTGTATTTATATTATCATTTACATTATGAAAATCTTCTTTTTTTTTTTTTTTTTGACCAACTAGGCCAAAGCCTCACTGTTTCAATTGTGGTTCTGAAGAACATCAAATGAAAGATTGCCCGATGGTAAATTCTTCTCATATAAAAAACACATCTTTGAACTACACATCAGAACTGGCTCATGTTTTCAACGCATTTATGGTTGTGTGATAGGAAGAAACTTCCTCTGTTACTTTGTTATAATTCTTTAATTTAAAATCTGTTCAAACTCATGCATATTTAAGGCATTTATTTTGAAAAAATAATACAAGACTATAACTTGAAGTGAATGAATCATGAGTTAATTTTTACAGTTTATTCTAAAAACTTAAATTATGATAATACTTAGGTAAAAACAAATTAAAGTGACTGGTTCTCTTCCTTGCTTGCTTTTCTAAAATATCCATCCTCTTTTATACTTGTTCCTTATACATTAAAACCAAAAAATCTTTTTGATCTAAAAACCAGTGAACAGTTTTACTTAATTTCTGAACTATTTCAGAAATATTGCTTGACACCATTCTTTCCAAATACGATTTAGCCTCGGAATGCTGCTCGAATCAGTGAAAAGAGAAAAGAGTATATGGACGCCTGTGGTGAGGCAAACAATCAGAATTTCCAGCAGCGATATCATGCAGAGGAAGTAGAAGAAAGATTTGGAAGATTCAAGCCAGGAGTTATCAGGTAGTGCTGTCATTTTGCCACAGAACCCCGTTTTTACTTCCCTGGTGTTGGGAACACTGTGCACCCTCAGGTATTCACCAGGGTGTAAGTGTGCCCTAGTAGGGTCCCACAGGACTATGCATTGGGTCATTCATACACATTTGTTGAAATTTTAACTACTTGTTAGGACCATGTTACCTGCTATGTACTAGAAAACGAATGTTTTGAAATAGCAGAACGTCACATGTATTTGTGCAAAGAGGAACTCGGTATTTTTTTTTGCTTAGTGAGGAACTTCAGGATGCACTGGGCGTGACAGACAGGAGTCTTCCCCCTTTTATCTATCGGATGCGTCAGCTGGGATACCCGCCAGGGTGGCTCAAGGAGGCTGAACTGGAGCACTCGGGACTGGCCCTCTATGACGGGAAAGGTATATGTTACCTTTATTGTTATGATTAAAATCACAACAAAATGCTATAGGAATGGCTGGCTTGTTCATTGCGTGCTGAATTAACTGTTTCCTATGTTTGTAAGGAGGAACTGAGCCTCACTGTATCCATGATTACCAGGTGCTTACCTGGACTTGCTTAGTGGCTGCGTAGCCTGAGTGTCAACTCTCCAGCTCATCCTCACAAGTCTACCTCCTCAGTAAGGGGGCAGATAGAGATCCTCCAGTGCCAGCGGATTCATGAAACTCTGTAGTAGTCCAGAATTCAGCTCCTCAGTACCCCAGACCAGGGTGCCTGCATCTGCTACTGAGTCCAGGACCCTTCTAATGCAGACCCTGGCGGGCAGTGGTCAGGGCTCAAGTGGTTAGCTTCCTGCCAGCCATGTGGGAGGCCTGGATTGAGTTTCTAATGCCCAGCTTCAGACTGGCCCCAGCCATTGTGGGTGTTTGGGGAGTGAACCAGGAAATGGGAGCTTATTCTCGCTACCTCCTTCCTTCTGAAATAAATAAATTAAAAAACACATTCTTTAATGTACATGGAAAAAGTAGAATTAATGGTGCAAAAAATATTTGAAGCCCATGAGTTTTTTCATGAACTTTTTACTTTTAAGATTTATATATTTATTTACTTACTTTTTTTATTTGAAAGAGTGACAAAGGAGAGGCAGATCTTTCCACTGGTTTACTCCACAAATGCCTCCAACAGCCAGGACTGGGCCAGGCCAAAGCCAGGAACCAGGAATGCCATCTGTGGCTCCCACATAGGTGACAAGAACCCAAGTACTTGGGCTATCAGCTGCTGTCTGCCAGGCAAATTAGGAGGCAGCAGGATCAGTAGAGGCGGTGGGCTGGCACTGTGGCATTGCGGGTAAAGCTGCCACGTAGAACACCAGCATCCCATATGGGTGCTGCTTTGTATCCTGGCTGCCTGCTTCTAATCCAGCTCCCTGCTAATGCCCCTGGGAAAGCAGCTGAACATGGCCCAAGTCCTTGGGCCCCTGCACCCATGTGGGAGACCTAGAAGAAGCTGCTGGCTCCTGGCCTTGGATCAGCTCAGCTCCAGCTACTGCAGCCATTTTGGGAGTGAACCAGCAGATGGAAGATCTCTCTCTGTAAATCTGCCTTTCAAATAAATAAAACAAAAAAACAGTGGAGGCAAGACTCCATCCTAGGAACTTCTTTTTTTTAAAGATTTTTATTTATTTATTTGAAAGTGTTACAGAGAGATGGAGCCAGTGCTGTGGCTTAGTGGGTTAAGCTTCTGCCTGCGACACCGGCATCCCATATGGCACTGGTTCTAGTCCCAGCTGCTGCTTTTCCGATCCAGCTCTCTGCTATGGCCTGGGAAAGCAGTAGAAGATGGCCCAAGTGCTTGATCCCTTGCACCCATGTGGGAGATCCTGAAAAAGTTCCTGGCTCCTGGCTTCGGATCAGCTCAGCTCTAGCAGCCATGTGGGAAGTGAACCAGCAGATGGAAGACCTTTCTCTCTGTCCCTGCCTGTCTCGGTCTGTAACTCTACCTCTCAAATAAATAAAATCTTAAAAAAAAAAAAAAAAAAAAAAAAAAAAACTACAGAGAAAGGGAGAGACAGACTCTCTGATAGCCACAATGGCTAGTGCTGGGCCCAGGCCAGGCCGAAGCCAGGAGCTAGGAGCTTCTTCCGACTCTCCCACAAGGGTGCAGGATCAGAGTAGAGGCATTGGGGCTGCCACAAACACATGGACCATTATCTGTGGCTTCCCCAGGTGCATTAGCAGGGACCTGGATCAGAAGCAGAGCAGCCAGGACACATGGGATGCTGGTGACACCATGACTGCACCCTATCCTTTGCACTTTAATATGAGATCAAGGTTTACCCAACCAACAGAACCCACCCCTTCATGAACTTTTTGAAGATCCCTTGTGTACATGGATTTCAGAAATTTTTGCACCAAAATTATCTTCTAATTATGTTTTCCAAGAACTTTTTGAAACACATTCATCTGTACACAAGGTATCTTTGTAGCCTTGAATATGGTAATAAAAATTCAAAAGCAACAGTAAGGCCCTAAAGAAGAGTGACTTACATTTGTAGGTTTTGGCTGTGGAAGGCCTGCAACATTGAAAAAGCAGAGTAAATCTGTACAGACTGACGTAACAACATCTTTGTGCAATGCTAAGTAAAAACCATGTTTCTGAATATCTTAGACGTGATGGTGCTATGGATGTCAAATTTTTTTATAAAAGGAAAAATGCGCATGAATCAGTACTATGTTCTGGAGACTTACATGTATAAAAATATATTTTTTATGTTGAAAATCCGCTACAGAGAGGGCTCTTCCATCTGCTGGTTCATTCCTTAGATGGCCACAGTGGCCAGTGCTGGTCCAGACCAAAGCCAGGAGCTAGCAGCTTCTTCTGGATCTCCCACATGGTTAGCAGAGGCCCAAGGATTTGGGTCATCTTACAATGCCCTTCCAAGCCCTTAGCAGGGAGCTAGATTGGAAGTTGAGCAACTGGGCGATGAACTGGCGCCCATGTTGGATGCCAGCATCACCAGCAGCAGCTTTACCCAGTATGCCACAATGCCGGTCTTGTAGTATGTACTTTTTTAGGGTCATAAAGAATATTAACTTGGCTGGTGCCGCGGCTCAATAGGCTAATCCTCCTCCAGCGGTGCCGGCACACCAGGTTCTAGTCCTGGTCAAGGCACCAGAGTCTGTCCTGGTTGCTCCTCTTCCAGTCCAGCTCTGCTGTGGCCCAGAAGTGCAGTGGAGGATGGCCTAGGTGCTTGGGCCCTGCACCCGCATGGGAGAAGCACCTGGCTCCTGGCTTTGGATCAGCACGGTGCACCGCCATTGGGGAGTGAACCAACGGCAAAGAAAGACCTTTTCTCTCTCTCTCACTGTCCACTCTGCCTGTCAAAAAAAAAAATGCAATCTTGCCCACAGTATAAGCACTATAAAATTGTTTGCTAAATGAAACCAAAGCATTGAACTGCAGCATTAGGCAAATAAGGTCAGTGTAAGCTAGACTTTTAAGCAACTTAGAGAGGAACCAAAGTTTCTGTAATTTTCTGTCTGCCAGTTTACTCCCCAAATGGCCTCAATGGCCAAGGCTGGGCCAAAGCAAAGCCAGGAGCCAGGAGCTTCTTCCGGATCTCCCACGTCGGTAGCAGGGGCCCAAACACTTGTGCCATCTGCTGCTGCTTTTCTCAGGCCGTTAGCAGGGAGCTGGATTGGCAGTGGGACTACAAGGCACGAACTGGTGCCCATATGGTGTGCTGGTGTTGCAGGCAGCTGCTGTACCTGCTGCACCACAACTCCAGCCCAGTTTCTGAGATTTTAAACTTTTTTATCAAAGAAACATTTCCACATTGTTTTAAAAAATTGATACTTAAAACCATTGCCAGACTGATTCTGAGCCATGAGTACAAGCGTTTTGTAGGTGTGTGTTTGATATGGGGAGGGATGTATAGCAGCATCTAGCAGTATTGATGCTTTTTTTCTGGTTCGCTGTAACAGATGATGCTGATGGTGAAACGGAGGTTGGAGAAGTGCAGCAGAATAAAAGTGTCACGTATGATCTCTCGAAATTGGTAAACTATCCAGGTTTTAATATATCTACGCCCAGAGGAATTCCAGATGTAAGTATATTGGTTTTTTTATTCTTATAGGATATGACATATTATGTTAAAGATTATTCCAAGTTCTCCCTCTGTCTCTTCCTCTCTTTCTGTAATTCTGTCTTTCAAATAAATAATCCCTAAAGAAGAAAAGATTATTAACTTATTAGATAAGTGTTAACTATAAGTTACTGTTACATAAAGAAGTGAATGTTATTTAATTTTAAATTTCTATACATTGATTAGAATCTTAAAATGATTCATCAAAATTGCAATTTTTTAGGATTTTATGCCAAATTTAGTTCCTTAAAAGGAGAGGAAATAGATCAAATTTTGTAAATCTGAAACTATTCTGAATTTAGATTATTTCCAAGAATTATTTGGGAAGTAAATTTCTGTCTCTAATAAATCTAAGTATGCTGTAACTTTTTCCTGTTCTTTCTTTCTTTTTTCCCCCAAATGACAATTTCTCATTCTGTATATGAATGGCTTTTACCAACTTTCATCTTATGTTTCAAAGTTCAACAATTATTGTATTTTAATACATTTCAAGTAATGAGCTCACACAAAACAGGGTGTGTTTCAGTGAAGGCTGACTTGCAGGACACCCACATCAGAGTTTCTGGGGGTGGGTCTCGGTGCCAGCCCAGTTCTGGGCAGAGACGCACATGCCGAGTCCAGCAGTCAGCTGAGAGTCAGACCCTGGGACCTACTGTTAGCTGAGAGCTCAGCGGGATCCTTTCTGGGAGCCACTGTTGAATGTGTTACTGGAGATTAGAGAGAAACAATGTTAAACCTTGAAGAGCAGTACTTTATTTGGGAAGGGAAGAAACAGAAGCCAGTAAGTATGTTACCAGAAGTGAACAGTGGACAGTCCTGGTGGTGTTGCCAGAGCATGATGGGAGCAAGTCTGGGGCCCTGGAACCTGAGGAGAGGCTGCACTCTTGACTGCCCCCAGTCGGCACACAGTAGACTGAGCAGTTACGTCAAGTCGTCTTTCAGTCTTACCATCCTGGTCGTTTCGCAGGCAGGCTTTTGTTTCCCTTCAACACACAATTATTTCTTTCTTTTAAAAACAATGATTTTATTTATTTACTTAAAAGGCAGAGTTACAGAGAAGAGGAGAGTCAGGGAGAGATTTTCCACCCACTAGTTCACTCCCCACATGGCCAGGACTGGGCCAGGCTGAAGCCAGGAGCCAAGAGTTTCAGCCAGCTCTTCCCACATGGGTTGCAAGGGCCCAAACACTTGAGCCATCTTCTGCTGCTTTTCCCAGGCTGTTAACAGAGAGCTGGATCGGAAGGGAACAGCCAGGACACGAACCAGCACTCATCTGGGATGCCAAACATCGCAGGCATCTTTAATAAAGGAAAAGTCACATAAAACAGAGTTTTAATCCGAAAACTTAACTTTACTACCTTTCAGCAAAATCTCAAAATGTGACGTTTTCCAAATACGTGTTCCACTTTGTGTTTCATCACTAGGAATGGAGGATGTTCGGTTCCATCCCCATGCAGGCTTGTCAGCAGAAGGAGGTGTTTGCCAGTTACCTCACCTCCAACTTCCAACCGGTAAAGATTCTAAGGGTGTGGTCTCTAACAGCTGATTGCATGTATCTGTGAGGCACCTTAATGCCTTTTCTTGCTGTATTTATAAAAGATTCTTGGTATCTGAATCAAAAAGAAAACAGTTCAATTCTGCAGATGCCTAGAATTTTTTTTTCTTTTTTTAGATTTACTTAATTTATTTGAAAGGCAGGGTTAGAGAGAGAGATTTTCCATCCTCTGGTTCACTCCTCAAATACTGCAATGGCCAAGGCTGGGCCAGGCCAAACCCAGGCTGGGTCTCTCACATGGGTACAAGAGATGAAGTACTTGGGCCATCCTCTGCTGCTTTCCCAGGTGCATTAGTAGGAAGCTGGATCAGAAGTGGAGCACCTGAGCTGCCAACTGGAGCCCATATGTGATGCCAGCACTGTAAGATGGTGGCTTTAACCCACTGTCACAGTGCTGGCCCCTAGATACCTATACTTAAGTCCATAGGTTTTGTTTTTTTGTTTAAGATTTACTTATTTATTTGAAAGGCAAAGTTACAGAGAGGCAGAGGCAGAGAAAGAGGTCCTCCATCTGCTGGTTGATTCCCCAAATGGCCTAAATGGCTAGAGCAGAGCCAATTTGAAACTAGGAGCCAGGAGCTTCTTCCGGGTCTCCCATAGAGTCACAGGGGCCCAAGGACTTGGGCCATTTTCCACTGCTTTCCCAGGCTGTGGCAGAGAGCTGGATTGGAAGTGGAGCAGCCAGGACTCAAACTGGTGCCAATATGGGATGCTGGCACTGCAGGTGGTGGCTTTACCCGATACACCACAGTGCTGGTCCCTAGAGGAGTTTTTATGCGATATTTAAGTGAAGGGGTGAAACTTAATTGTGTGTCTACCTCGTCTAACTTTGTATCTGGTTTGGTTTCCCCTGTAGCCTGGTGGTAAGTCTGGCAGCAAGAGGTCTTCCTCTCAGTCCAGCCCCAGGAGCCCAAAGAAGCAGAAGAAGGAAGGCAGCTCTGCTGCGTCCCCCGCCGACATGGATCTCGACTCAGGTTGGTTTCCTCCTGTAGTTTTGATTTCACTGGGAAGGTGCAGCGAGTTCTGTGCTCTGTTTTCCACAGGAAAGGGGAAGGTCTTTGTGAGCATTGACTGCTGAATCTTTATTTTACTCTTGGAGATCAGGACATTGCCATTATCACTGATCAAAACAGAATTGGAGGACTGGCATGATTGCTTAGTGGGTAAAGGCACCACTTGGGACACCAGCATCCCATATGGAACTGGTGCATGGCCCAGGTGCTCCAGTTCTGATCCAGCTCCCTGCTAATGGCCTGGGAAAAGCAGCAGAAGATGGCCCAAGAGTTTGGGATTCTTCCACCTATGGGAGACCCGGATGGAGCTCCTGGCTTTGGCCTGGCTTAGCCCTGGCTATTGCGGCCATCCAGGGAGTGGACCAGCAGAAGGAGGATCTCTCTCTCTCTCTCTCTCTTTGTCTCTCCCTTTCTCTAACTCTGACTTTCAAGTAAATAAATAAATAAACTGAATTGGACACCACAGCATGGGGTGAGCCAGTGGGTGAGCTAGCTGAATTCCTGATTTATAAGTACTTGACCCAGGCTCTTCTGTGCTGCCTCTGGACTGATCAGAGCAGCACTCAGGAGCAAGCAGTGCACACCCTCTGCCCTGTGCCATATGGGCAGCTCAGTCTCAGGGGCAGAGCTGATCCGAGCTTTCTCACTTCTCTTCACAGTCGTGTCAATCCAGTAGATCACTCTTTCTCCCCAAGAAAGAGGGACCATGAGGAACGCTGTCCTGCCTGCAGCCAGTGGCACAAAGTCCTTTTCCTCTGACACTGCCCTAGTTTTTTGTTCTTTTTTATTTTTAATATTTATTTTATTTATTTGAAAGGCAGAGTTACACAGAGAGAGGAGAGGTAGAGAGAAAGGTCTTCCATCCGATGGTTCACTTCCTAGTTGGCTGCAACGGCCGGTACTGTGCTGGTCCCAAGCCAGGAGCCAGGAGCTTCTTCCAGGTCCTCCATGTGGGTGCATGGGCCCAAGGACTTGGGCCATCTTCCACTGCCTTCTCAGGCCACAGCAGAGAGCTGGATTGTAAGTTTTTTGTTCTTAAGCTCTGAGTGTGACCATGGAACCTGTGGCCTACCAGGATTGTGACAGTCCCTCTGAGCAGAAGAGCAGGTGAGCAGGACAGTCTGCACCCACCTTCTGAGCCCGCCCTCTTCCTTAGTGCCAGCCACCACGCCTCTGGGCTTTCCCCTGGGACTGCTGATAAGTGGTTTAGATTCTGTCCCCAGAAGGCTCTGGAATGGATCTGAACTTTATGTTCATTGGATCAATTCCAAGTATACTTGAAAGCCAAAGCTGAAAATTTGCAACTTATTCTATTTCCCATGCTAAATGATACCCAGCTGTTTTGGTCCTATATAGCATGTCAGACATTGTGACATGAGTTAAAATGCAGATATTAAGATGAAATATATATGGGGCCAGCGCTGTGGCACAGTGGATTAATGCTCTGGCCTGAAGTGCCAGCATCCCATATGGGTGCTGGTTCGATGCCAGTCCCTAGAATTGATTCATGTAAGCACAGTACACATACACTGGAAAGGGGTCATTACTAACTCGGTGTTCTCCGTTCCCTGCCACTTGCTCTTCCTCCTTTACCTACTGCTTATTGTAGTTAATAGATCAAGTTCTTAAAATTGCATGTATTGGCCGGCGCCGCAGCTCACTAGGCTAATCCTCCGCCTAGCGGCGCCGGCACACCGGGTTCTAGTCCTGGTCGGGGCGCCGGATTCTGTCCCGGTTGCCCCTCTTCCAGGCCAGCTCTCTGCTGTGGCCAGGGAGTGCAGTGGAGGATGGCCCAGGTGCTTGGGCCCTGCACCCCATGGGAGACCAGGAAAAGCACCTGGCTCCTGGCTCCTGCCATCAGATCAGCACGGTGCACCGGCCGCAGCGCGCCGACCGCGGCGGCCATTGGAGGGTCAACCAACGGCAAAGGAAGACCTTTCTCTCTGTCTCTCTCTCTCACTGTCCACTCTGCCTGTCAAAAAAAAAAAAAAAAAAAATTGCATGTATTATAACTGATTAGTCTTCAAACCAGCCACCCTTCAAGTCTGCCCTCATCGATATCTCAGTAATTGCCATTCGGTTCCAGCCTCACTTCACTGCCTCCTCAGTGTCTGGTTCTGTGTAAGAGAGCTGCCTCAGATCCAGCAGTGGCACAAAGGAAAACTGAGCAGCAGATGGTTGAGGTCAGAGATTGCCAAGAGTGACAACTCTGTCTTGAGATGAATCCAGGGTTTACCGGTTAGGGCATCTGAGACCTGGGAAAGGAAATGCGGAAGCGTGGAGCATCGCGGCCCATTGGGTGCCAGCTAAGGCTTGAGGCAGGCAGTAAGAGGTGACTCGTGGTCACAGAGGGCCGCCCAGACTATGAGGGAAGGCTGGGCTGCGTTCTGGGGGGATGGGAAGACACTGAGCTTTTCTGAGTGAGACATTTAAAAGAACAGATTGATTTGTGTTTTGAAATAATTAATCTGGCAAGAATTTGGGGGACAAACACAAGGAAGATGAATCCGGAGGCAAGATCAGCCGATGGTAGCGGGCCTGAAATAAGGTAGAGGCTGTGGCGGCATCAAGGAGAACGTGTAGCCCAGGGCTGGCACTGTGGAGTAGCGGGCTAAGCCTCCGCCTGTGGCTCCAGCATCCCACGCGGGTTCCAGTTCACGTCCCAGCTGCTCCTCTTGTGATCCAGCTCTCTGCTATGGCCTGGGATAGCAGTGGAGGATAGCCCAAGTGCTTGGACTGCTGCACCCATGTAGGAGACCCAGAAGAAGCTCCTGCCTCCTGGCTTCAGATCAGCTCAGCTCCAGCCATTGTGGCCATTTGGGGACCAGCTGGTGGAAGATCTCCCTCTCTGTTTGTAACTGTACCTCTCAAATAAATAATTAAAAACCTTTAAAAGAGAGAGAGAGAAGAAGGAAGAAGGGAGGGAAGAAGGAAGGGTATACCCTAGAGAGCCAGGACCTGGGCATGATGCAGGAGGAAGGGCGGACCCTCAGCAGATGAGGGCCCAGATGTAGGAGACTTTTTGTCTTGGACGGAGTGTGACTGCAGGGTGTGGAGGTGGTAATGATTGGTGAAAGGGTGAAAACCCAAACCCACAGAGGGGCCGAACAGTCTAGATCAGAGCTGCGGAATGGGAAGTGACCCAGGGTGGATTTCTGCCGAATCCTTGCCTCCTCCTCTCAGTAGCCAGCCTGTACTTGCAGCCACACTTCCTGCTGATTTGTCAGCTGTAGCGCCCCATCTGGGACCCCTTCTGGATCTCCATGCCTTACTTCCTACGCATGGCACAGAAGTGGATCCCTCAAGGGGTGTGGTCACAGGGCCACCCCCGAAGATCCTAACAACCCTCCCTGCAGAGCATCTTCCAGGTGACAGGTGGGGCACCTGCAAATCCAATTTTCCCCCTCCCAGGCCTGTTCCTTCTGGCCATTGAGTCACTGGACATCCTGAGGTCAAACAATAAATTGTAGTAAAACCTAATGTTGGGGCCGGTGCTATGGCACAGCGGGTTAAAGCCCCAGCCTGCAGTGCCAGCATCCCATTTGGGCACCAGTTCAAGTCCTGGCTGCTCCACTTTTGATCAAGCAGTGGAAGATGGCCCATGTCCTTGGGCCCCTGCACTCATGTGGGAGACCTAAAAGAAGATCCTGGCTCCTGGCTTTGGATCGGCTTAGCTCTGGCCATTGTGGCTAATTGGGAAGTGAACAATGGGTGGAAGACCTCTCTGTCTCTCTGTAACTCTTTCAAATAAATAAGATAACTCTTTAAAAACAAACTATTGCAGCTGGCGACACGGCTCACTTGGCTAATCCTCCACCTGCAGCGCCGGCACCCCAGGTTCTAGTCCCGGCTGGGACGCTGGATTCTTCCAGTCCAGCTCTCTGCTGTGGCCCGGGAAGGCAGTGGAGGATGGCCCAAGTGCTTGGACCCTACACCCGCATGGGAGACCAGGAGGAAGCGCCTGGCTCCTGGCTTTGGATCGGTGCAATGCGCAGGCCGTAGCAGCCATTTGGGGGGTGAACCAGTGGAAAAAGGAAGACCTTTCTCTCTGTCTCTCACTGTCTAAATGTGCCTGTCAAAAAAACAAACAAACAAACAAACAAACAAAAAAACGAATGCTATTCCAACTTCTGAAGTACCGGCTACCTTTATCATTTCAGATGGCTCGCGGGGCAGTGGAGGTTTTCACTTTCAGCCTCCGTTACCTCCGGACACTCCCCCTCCACTCCCACAGGGGGCTCCTTCTCCCGTCTTCACTCCTCCGCTCCCCAAGGGCACCCCCCCACTGACTCCCAGCGCCTCGCCCCAGGCCCGCGTGGCGTCCGCAGCCGTGGATGAGGACACGCTGACTCTGGAAGAACTTGAAGAGCAGCAGAGGCGGATCTGGGCAGCCCTCGAGCAGGCCGAGAGCACCCACAGCGACTCCGACCTCCCTGTGGACACACCCTTAACTGGGAACTCGGTTGCCTCGTCACCTGGTCCCACCGAGCTGGACCTCCCTGGGCCGGAAGGAAGCACGTCCGACAAGCAGGAGCTGGATCTGCTGGAACCTCAAGTACCTGACGTTTGTGCAAAAAAAGCGGAAGTTGAACATTGCTCGAGTCCAGACTCTGAGGCCACGCTGCTTCGTCAGGAGGAGGAGCCTGCTCAGCTGGATTCGAAAGGTGCTCTGGATAACGGCAGCGTCACGTCAGACTGTGACATTAGGAACGGAGGCAGCCAGGTGCCCCTACAGGTGGACGCCAGGCCTTCTACGGCCACTAAAGTTCACAGCCCCGTCCCTGACATGAGCAAGTTTGCAACTGGAATCACACCGTTTGAGTTTGAGAATATGGCAGAGTCCACCGGAATGTACCTCAGGATACGGAACTTGTTGAAGAACTCTCCCCGCAACCAGCAGAAAAACAAAAAGGCTTCTGAGTAACTGCTCCACGGAGCCCCGAAAGCTGTTTCATTGTACTCAGATGCACTTGTTTCCTGTTTGTCCTTGCCATGTTTGAAAATCTCTCCAAGATAAATGGTGGTCCACAAGCCCATTTCCAGGAGCGAGGAGACTAGGCTCCCTACTTTACTGTGTTTTATCCTCACTGACAGAACCCCGGGAGGGAGCTGTAAGTCTGCGATGGCTTGGAGACAGTTTGTTAAGGTTTGTACTATTTTTGGATTGTGTCCATCAAGAGTACTGGTTTTTATCTGTCTTTTGTACATTGTTTTCCCTTTCTACATTTTGCTAATTATCCTGTATACAAGTTTAATATATCACTTTTTTAAAAGAAAAAATTCTAACCCATTTCAGATTCATGTTTTCTGCTCCAGCAACGAAATGAGAACAATCAGGGATGAGCAGCTTTCGCCATGTAGAGTGTTCTAGTATGTGATGTGCACGCATCACTTTTAACAACACTTTTGCTTTGTTTGTAACGTCACTCCTCAGCTAAGCTTTCCATACAGGTGCGTTCATTTTTGTGTACAAAGGTTTAATAAATTAGTTTTCACACACATAATCTAAGATTTTGAGTACAGTAAAAGGAATTCACAGGTAAATTAGTGTATATAACCTTTTAAGTTTGGAAGTAAATTATGTGACTAAGAATTAGTCATACTACAAGAAATTGCAAGTTTAGGTGCTTTCACTATTTTAAGCCTTAAATAAACAGCAAATTTTTAAAAATATTATTTTGCAAAAAAAAACAAGGTGGAGGGCAGCTAGCCTTTATAAAAAAATAATTTTCTAGATTTGGATCCTAAGATCATTAAAAATTAAAAAGTAGACATAAACAAACTGCTTTTTAACTATCAGATGTAGGGAACAGAGCTGAAACTATGGTTTTGTCTTTATGTAGAATGCCATTCCATCTTTATGCTTTATACTTGGTCACGGTCGTGAAAGTGAACATGTGGAGATCTTGAATTCTTAGTCTCAGGTCCTGTTATCCTGCTCTCAGACCAACAGAGGAAGCAAAATAGAACCAACCATTCTGGATATGGGTTTCATTCTTGAGAACGTGGGTAATCAGATTTACTGTTCTATAGACAATAATGGGAAAGAGAATTCTGTGGAAGGGAGTAAATTTATTTTGAGGGCCCTTACAGAGCGCTAGAAATGGGGGATATGTTAAGTACCGTGGCCTTTCTTCCTCTGAGTTGAAGTACACACGCGTTATCTTACTCAACATTTCTGTCAGACAAATGCATTATCGCCACGTGGAAGTAAGGACAGGGAGGCACACAGAAGTTGAAGGGACTTGTCAGCATTCCAGAAGTGGTTCTCGGCCAGCGCCGCGGCTCACTAGGCTAATCCTCCGCCTTGCGGCGCCAGCACACCGGGTTCTAGTCCCGGTTGGGGCGCCGGATTCTGTCCCGGTTGCCCCTCTTCCAGGCCAGCTCTCTGCTGTGGCCCGGGAGTGCAGTGGAGGATGGCCCAAGTGCTTGGGCCCTGCACCCCATGGGAGACCAGGAGAAGCACCTGGCTCCTGGCTTCGGATCAGCGCGGTGCCCCGGCCACAGCGGCCATTGGAGGGTGAACCAACGGCAAAGGAAGACCTTTCTCTCCGTCTCTCTCTCTCTCACTGTCCACTCTGCCTGTCAAAAAAAAAAAGAGAAGTGGTTCTCGAGAGGGTGGTCTTCAGCTAACCTCTTAGCTATTCGCTGAATCATCCGAGTGCTTCAGATGCCCCGTTAAGTGTTGCGCTGGTCTAGCTGTCTGTGAATGCCAGAATTTCCTCACGGTTAAATGCTGTGAACCTCGCAAACCTGAATCCAGATCTCCACGCGCAGGCCCTGAACCCCCACACGGCCTCTCCCTGTCAAAAGCTCTGTGAAAGCACTGCACTCCCCCTGCTGCGCGCACACCTGGTTAGTGTTCCTGTGCTTTGCGGCAGTGAGAAGCACTGACAGAGTCCACTTGGAGAGAGCTCCTGCTTAGTTTGCGTCCAGTTCAGAAAGTGGCCACGTGAGGAGTGGGGCGGCCTTCAGATGCCAGAGCACGGCTAACCTCTTCAGTTAGAGGATGTTTGAAGACTTCTGGAAAAACATAACCCTTGAGTGAACCCTAAAAGTAGGCAGGAGGGCTCCACAGACATAAAGCAGTGACACGCAGGTTAACAGCCCGAGCCAAAGAAACAGGAGCACAAGAATGTGGGATGGTAGGGGGAAAACTCTTAAAAGATGCTCATTCCTGGTGCTGGGAACTCGGAATGCCCCCACTCCAGGATTTGAATTCATTAGGGAAAAGGATCCGGAAAGATCTGTGGAGTGACCTCATCCCAGCCGTATTTGCAGAAGATAAACCCTAATGCAGAATTTAGACTGAGTCAGAGTGGAGACCATTTACAGAAGGGAGCGCGTGACCTTGGGAAGGGTTTGCCTCTTGAGGTGCCCTATTTTTGAAATACATTCTGTTTGCTGTATTCGAGTATTAGGAAGATATGATGGGTGGAGGAAAGGTTGCTGTTTGGACTTGTCCGTGCAATGACAGGTCTCCAGGTGTGGGGAGGTGAGGTAATAGCCAAATACTGGTACTTCAAGATGGATTTGGGACAGGGTGGGGAGCTGCCTCCCACCTTTGCCTTGGGGCAAGAGGGGTGTGACTAGTAATAGGGGCAGCTAAAACAAAGCCAGCTCTTTGTCCTGTCCTTAAGCAGGTAAGTGGAAAGAAGGCACTGCCTTTGCTGTTTTTGAGAAAGATTGCATTTCTTTAAGGGGCCGGAAGTTCTGCCTACTTTATGCTACCCAGAGGCTTCCTCCCAGTGCTTTTATTCTCCAAGTTCTCTGCTGGAATCATTTGGGTTTTTGTCCTGACTTTGTTATCATTAGCAGGAAAAACCTGCAAGGGTGTTGTAACAATTTTTAGAACCAAAGTGGTTTGTGAGGCATGACTCAGTTCCCAAGAACATCTTCACACGGTGTTTTTTTTGTTTTTTTTGTTTTTTTTTTTTTTGCAGAGTTTAGGAAAATTCCTTTTAGCCTAAGCAGCTTCACTTGATTTAATGGTATAGATTCACTTCAAATTGTTTAGGATCATTTTGTTAAAGGAAAGTGTTTATAAATACTTCTGAATTAGAGTCACTTAAATAATCTTGGCAAATGAGACATCTTGGAACAAGGCACGTTTGTAAATCACCAGCAGCTAACTAGGATGTCTGTGTGGGAGTGGGAGGGAGGAGTACCACAGCTGTCTAAAACGTGGTTTCTTGGTCTCCTAAAATGAAGTGCATTTGGTTGGGGGAGAGGGAAGGCAATGAGCAAGCAAGATCCAGTTACATGGAAACAACTCCCTCTCTGTTCATCCAGTGTTCAGAGCCTGTGTCTGTCATCCACGTTTAGGTCCTGAATTGGTGGATTGTCTCTCTTGGCAAACCACCTCTTTCAAGTCCATATCCCTGACCTTTCTGTTAGACATGCAACACAGATCCTACTGCCAGTACATTTTCATTTGTAATTAAATGACACCCGTCTTAGTCATTTAAAGACTAAAGTAGGTGTTTTTACTTTTAAACATTTTAAGTGTTTACTTTGTAAGCAGAAGGAATAATAAAGCCATAAATTTGAAGGAAACCATAGAGGATGCCACATCATTTTCCTTCGTACAGTATAGAAATTTATTTTTTCACCAATTTTCTAAACCTAAAAGTTTTTTAGTTCTCAAAATAAAAATTCTTGATTCTGTTGCTGATTAGAACTGTAGCACAAGTTTATTGTAAAAATTTAAACAAAACAACAGTGTAAAGGTCCTTTTAACAACTTTCAAAACAAAAATCAGTGTTCATAGTTTGCTTTGTCTTTTTCCTGAGCAAATACATGTAACTAAAGGTTTTCTTTACATGTATCTATAAGTAGCTTTTAATCAAAGTGAGGTTACTGTATTTTCCATGTCAGTATTTGGAACTAATTATTATTTAATGACCAGACAGTGGTATGCCACATTTTACTGAATCTTGTTTACAATATTGACTACAATATTTTGTTTACAATGCTGCAGTGAATGTTTTTAAAGGTAAACCTTTGAATCTTTGTGGAAATATATGCATAGGATGCATTCCATGATTATAAACCAGATGAAATATGTTACTTTTTGGCCATTTTTATTTCTAACATGCGTTTTTTTTTAAATATCTTTTCAATTGGTTACTTGATATAGGAGGCAGCTTCTAAAAGTTCATGGAGAATGGTACTAAGATATTTTGGTGCAAACATTTTTTAAATCCATGCATAATTCTTTCATAATACCCATCTTCCGTGAACTTTTGAAGACCTCTCATATTGTAATTATAAAAAAAAGCCTATCTTCTGTTGGGTATGCTGCAAAACCCTGTTTTCAGTTATGTATATAAGCGTTTCCTTCGTGACCGGACGCCGTCGTGACGGTTCGTTTCCCTGTTCCTTGGCCCTCTGATCCGGAGTGATGCTCTTGGACTACAGTCGCACTGCGGGCTCCACTCCTCCCTGGTGTTTAGCGGCGTGAGCCGTAGATGGAAGTCTCAGCACTTCTCCCATTTCTTCTTGTGTAGGTGATTATGCTAATTACTGCTCAGATTCCTCACTGTGTCCTCACAGATGACTATTTTTTTGGATTTTCTTTATGAATAAACTGGTAAGACTCCTTTTGTTGGATTTTTTAACATAAGGATTAAATGGGGAGAAAAAAAAATCTACAGAAATGGGATGGGCCCCAGGGTAAGCTTTTGCTTGAGGTGTGGGCATTTCGGATCCAAGTGCCTGGATAGGGTCCTGGGGGCTTGGAGCTTCTGATTCAGCTTCCTGCTACCCACATGGAAGACCCAGAGTTCCTGGCTCCTGGCTTCAGCCTGGTCCAGCCCCAGCTGTTGCAGGCATTTGAGGAGTGAAACCAATGGATGGCAGATCTCTGTCACTCTGCTTTCAAAGAAGGGCCAGCATTGTGGTGTTCTTGGTTAACCTGCTTGTAATCCAGCTCCCTGCTAATGTGCCCGGGGAGGCAGCAGTCTGGCCCAAGTCCTTGATCCCTGCCGCCCACCCAGGAGACCTGGCTGAAGCTCTTGGCTCCTGGCTTCAGCTTGGCCCAGACCTGCCTGTTGTGAGCATTTGGGGCGTGAACCTACAGGTGGAAGATCTTTGTTCTCTATGTCCCTCTATCTTTCAAACAAAATTAAAAAAAAAAAATGCTTTAGAACCTAACCAAGAGCAAGAACAAATGTTGAAAAAATAGTTATGGTCCCAACCTTTTATCTGTGATAATGGGAAATGGTGTATACCAGGAATTCTGGACAGTAGAAATGCATTTTAAAAAACCCAACAAGATTCACTCAACACTATGGGTACATTTGGAATATCTGGAATACAAGAAATTGCTGGAAGTACAAGAGGTGTAACCCTGTCTGAGCTGGATTGACCTCCGACTTGTGGTGAGGCGGATTTGTTCATCACAAGTGAGAATGAGTGAAAGTGCATCAGGGCAGGCTGTGGGAGCAGAGCCAGGGCCAGTTTCTCAGGGGTTGGTTACACGATTCCTGCTTCTTCCACCTGCCGGCTGGATCTGTTCAGATCTGGATTCTGTAACCAATTACAGTCGAGTCATTGCACTGGTCCAGCTGGAAGTGTTTACTTAGGAGCCTGTGGGAGAATTCCCAGCCCTGCTGGAGGAGTGATCAGGAGGGCAGGCAGGCACGTGCTGCACTGTAGGCCCTGCTGCCTACAGTCGTGACTGAGGAGATGTGAGCTTCCCTGAATGGTATCCACAACCTGCGCGGGCCTCCAGGTAAGAATCTCGAGTTAGGGGCGGGAGTCCTGCCACAGCAGTTCCGCCCGCGTGTGGGAGACCCACATCTCATATGGCGGTGCCTGGTTCAAGTCTTGGCTCCTCCGAATTGGATCCAACTCCTTACTATTGTGCCTGGTGGTTTTAGTACTTGTGTCCCTGCTACTCCAGGACCCAGATGGAATTCCAGGCTCCGGACTTCAGCCTGGCCCACCCTTGGCTGTTGGAAGTGAACCAGCAGTTGGAAGATTCTCTCTCTCTCTTTCTCTCCCTTCCAAATAAATCAATAAAACGTTAAAAAAGAAGTAAAGACCACTCACTTTAAGGAAAAAAAAGGGGTGGAGGGGACAGCATAGTGGGCAAAGCTACTGCTTGTGATGCCAGGATCTCATATGAGCACCAGTTTGTGTCCCTGCTACTCCACTTCCAATCCAGCTCCCTGCTAATGGCCTGGGAAAAGCAGCAGAAGATGGCCCAAGTCCTTGGGCCCCTGCACCCATGTGGAAGGCCCCGATAAAGCTCCTGGCTTTGGTCTGCCCGAAACCTGGCTGTTGCAGCTGTCTGGAGAGTGAACCAGTGGGTGGAAGATCTCTCTCTGTCTCTCCCTCTCTCTGTAACTGCCTTTCAAGTAAATTAAAAAAAAAAAAAAAGTTGAGGCCCGCTTTTTTTTTTCCTTTTAAAGATTTTTTTTTTTAGTTTATTTGAAAGGCAGAGTTAGAGAGAGAGGGAAAGAGATCTTCCGATAGCTGGTTCACTCCCCAGATGACTCCAGGTCTCCCACCGGTTTGTGTCCCGGCAGCTCCACTTCCGATCCAGCTCTCTGCTAAGGCCTGGGAAAGCAGTAGAAGATGGCCCAAGTCTTTGGGCCCCTGCACCCGCATGGGAGACCTGGAGGAAGCTCCTGGCTCCTGGCTTTGGATTGGCACAGCTCCGGCTGTTGTGGCCAATTGGGGAATGAACCATTGCATGGAAGACCTCTCTCTGCCTCTCCTCTCTCTGTGTAACTCTGACTTTCAAATAAATAAATAAATCTTTAAAAAAAATAATAATAAGAGGACAGTAGGGGCCGGCGCTGTGGCATAGCCAGTAAAGCCACCACCTGCAGCACTGGCATCTCATACAGGCGCTGGTTTGACTCCTGGCTGCTTCACCTCTGATCCAGCTCCTGCTATGACCTGAGAAAGCAGTAGAAATTGGCCCAAGTCCTTGGGCTCCTACACCCATATGGGAAACCCACAAGAAACTCCTGGCTCCTGCCTTCGGATTGGGTCAGTTCTGGCCTTTGCGGCCATCTGGGGAGTGAACCAGTGGATGGAAGACCTCTCTCTCTCTGCTTCTTCCTCTCTGTAATTCTGCCTTTCAAATAAATAAATAAATATTTTAAAAAAAGAGCACAGTAAGGCACATCTTTGCCTTTCCATCTTAACTACACCTACACAAAGCATTTAAATATATTGGTAATGTTACTATGAACATCAGAATAAAGAGCTTAGAAAACTGCTTTAATTCATCAAAAAATGAAACATTTTCTGATGAAGGAAGTTTACATGAGGGCAAAACAGACTCAAGAGTTGGAAGAGGCCTTACAGATCATAGATTCCAAACTCACAGCCTGATGCTCTCGCAAGATGTCAGCCAGCCCCTACAAGGTAATAAATAGGAGAGGTGTGGTGGCGCAGCAGGGTAAGCCACTGCTTGGGCTGCCTGCATCCCACATCTGAGTGCTGGTCAAGTCCCAGCTACTCCATTTCCAATCTAACTTCTTGCTAAGGTAGATGATGGCTCAAGTGCTTGGACCTTCGCAGCCCACTTGGGAGACCTTATGGAGTTCTAGCTTCCTGGCTTTGGTCTGGCCCAGCCCTGGCTGTTGTGTTCACTCTAGAAGTTCACCAGTGGATGGAAGATCTCTGTCTCTGTCTCTCTTGCCCTGCCTTACAGGTAGATGAAAATAAATGAAGATTTTTTAAAAGATCTATTTTATTTATTTGAAAGTCAGAGTTACACAGAGAGAGGAGAGGCAGAGAGAGGTCTTCCATCCAATGGTTCACTCCCCAATTGGCCACAACAGCCGGAGCTGTGCCAATCCGAAGCCAGGAGCCAGGAGCTTCCTCCAGGTCTCCCATGCGGGTGCAGGGGCCCAAAGACTTGGGCCATCTTCCACTGCTTTCCCAGGCCGCAGCAGAGAACTGGATCGGAAGTGGAGCTGCTGGGACACAAACCGGTGCCCTTATGGGATGCCGGCATTGAATTAAAAAAAATTCAATTTCTGAGGCCGGCGCCGTGGCTCACTAGGCTAATCCTCCGCCTTGCGGTGCCGGCACACTGGGTTCTAGTCCCAGTTGGGGCGCCGGATTCTGTCCCGGTTGCCCCTCTTCCAGGCCGGCTCTCTGCTGTGGCCAGGGGTTACAGTGGAGGATGGCCCAAGTGCTTGGGCCCTGCACCTGCATGGGAGACCAGGACAAGTACCTGGCTCCTGCCATCGGATCAGCGCGGTGCGCCGGCCACGGCAGCCATTGGAGGGTGAACCAACGGCAAAAGGAAGACCTTTCTCTCTGTCTCTCTCTCACTGTCCACTCTGCCTGTCAAAAACAAAAATTCAATTTCTGAAAAATTGCAAGTTGGATATTTCCATTTTCAAATCTCATGTGCAGCAAACCATCCCAAAACTTAGCGACTGAAAACATCCTTAGTTCCTATTCCCGTGATGCTGCAAGTTGGCTGGAGGCCCTAGACTCAGTCACGTGACTGGGGAAGGATGGCCCTAGACTCGGTCACGTGACTGGGGATCGAGGGTCCCAGGTGCCTCACTCCTTTGTCCGGGGCCTCAGAACTGGCTGTGGTCAAGCCTCAACTTCTTTGCTGTCTTGGGGAAGCTGAACTCACAAGGCCTCTTGAGGCTGAGCTGCGGAACTCACACAATGTCACTTCCCCACATTCCTTTTTTTTTTTTTTTTAAGATTGATTTATTTATTTGAAAGGCAGAATTACAGAGAGAGGGAGAGACAGAGGTCTTCCAACTGCTGGTTCACTTCCCAAATGGCCACACAACAGACGGAGCCGGGCCAGTCCGAAGCCTGGAGCCAGGAGCTACTTCCGGGTCTCCCACGTGGGTGTGGCAGCCACCTTCTACTGCCAGCACTGCAGGCAGTCTCACCTTCCACATCCTGGCACTGGCCCCTCCCCCACATTCTACAGCAAGCCGGAAGCCCAGGTCAAAGAGCGGGAAGGAGATCCCACTTCTTGATGAGTCCAGCCAGAGTACTGCGGGTCTGTGTGGTCCAAGCTGCCGGTATGTACTGAGTATTTTAGGCAGTGTTGTAAGTCTCTTCAGGTCTTAAATTGAGGTTTCTCGTGTATCATGTCATTACGTAGTGGAACCCATATAATCTAACATGTGTGAATAATAATACGTCTTAAAACTATTTTTAAAACTGACTATATGAGACTAAAAATAGGTAACTTCTAGAAGAGAAAAAAAAGTGAAATAAGATGCTGTCCTAACGTCAGAAACTACTAAGATAAGAATGTCAAATAGTAGCATGAACAAAGCAACCTAATTTTAGTGCACCACATGTTTGGCCCTCCAAGGGCACACTGAACTCAGGATTTGCTTTTCTCATGACTGGCCCCAAGCACCAAGTTCAAGTCAATGCTTCTGTGTCTGTGCTACTTATCATTAATAGTCATCAGCTTGATAAAATTTAAAGTTGAACAAATTGAATCTTATTCATAAGAACAAAATAAGAGACTGCACAAACACTTATACACTACCTACCACAGGCAATCTACTTGCCTGAGATTCCTGTAGAGAGGGAGGAATAGGAGAAGGTATGGGATTAACTGCTAGTGGAGGCAGAGCACAGTAC